AGGGAAATCGCATGGTAATGGAAGGCGATCCTCAGGGTTATACAAAATGACATATAAGAGGAAAGGAGGGGTAAGACAAGATAATACAAATGGAAGAAATGATTTACAGTAGAAGGGGTAGAGACTATTGGAGTCTTAAACAGAGAAACATGGAGTTTTGTTTTAGCCAGACATTAAATTCAGTGTCATATATTACAAAATTCAGTCCTTAGTTGTTAGTATATTCTGACTTCTTTCTCTAATTTTGTTTTCTTTGGACAGAAGTTAATTCCAGCAAAGATTAAATCATAAACTCAGTTAATTTATGAGATAATCTTCACTCTTAGATTATTATTTAGCTAAATATGAAGTTGTAGGATGATATTATCCCCTTGCCCATTGTCCTGGGCATCTAATATTACTCCTTAAAAGTCACCTGTACAGGGCTGGGGAAGTGGCTCAAGCGGTAGCATGCTTGCCTAGCGTGCACGTGGCGCTGAGTTCGATCCTCTGCACCACATAAAAATAAAATAAAGATATTGAGTCTACTGAAAACTAAAAAATAAATATTAAAAAATTCTCTCTCTCTCTGTCTTTCTAAAAAAAAAATATATTTTTTTTTTAAAAAGTCACCTGTATGTGGAAGTATGACTCCTCTGTGGCTAGTTTAGCTTTTTTCCCTTTATCTTGTAGATCTGTAGTTTTACTCTCCTATGTGTAAATGTAGATTGATTTTTATTTTATTCATCCTTCTCAGCATGTGGTGTGCTCTTTCAAAGTGAGTCTTTGTTTTGTGCTGTTTGTTTTCTTTCAGTGCTAAGAACTTCTTAGCCAACTTCCCTTAAAATACCACTTCCCTGACAATCCGTTATTCTCTCCTTATGATGAAAGTCTCCCTGGGTGTTCTGGAGCCTTTCAGTGTTACTCCTCTATTTGTCTGGATTCACTTATGTTTCCTCTTTTTGCTGCATTCTGTGCATATTCTTTGGCACTATTTCTGATTCTCTTTGGTACTGCTCTTGGGAGACCATTCTATCTGAATCTTTTTAATGATTATGTGTTTTTTGGTTTTTCCATTTCCACTTATTCTTGTTAAATATTTGTCTATTTTTTATAATTTTTAAAGTTTCCTTCATGAATACTAGTCTTTCCGTGAACACATTGTTTAACCTAAATATATCTCTGTTAAATTGATTATAGGTGATTCTTTTACTTGCATTTGGTCAAGATATAGTCACCTCCAAATTATTGAGTTGGCTTTCTGTGTTCTAGTGTTCATTTGGATTTTGTTGTGGTGGTGGTTTTGTTGACAGCAGGCATCACACTGAGTGAGAAGTGTCATTCTCATTCTCTCTCTTCCTAATAGAAGGTTTTTCAGGTGTCTCCTCTAGTGTCTCAACACCCTCCGCCCTGAAGCAGCTCTTTCATTGGTATTTCAGAATTCCTGCCACCCAGCAAAGGTTTTTGAAACAGCCCTCGCCTGGTCACTGAACCAGTGGGCTGCTTCGCATCTGTGGTGGTCAGCTTTTTGCCACTGTGACCAAAACACCTGACAAGAACAATTTAGAGGAAGAAATTTTCTTGTGGCTCAGGGTTTCAGACATCCCAGTCAATGGTTAGCTGCTGACTCCCAAGCTCTGTGTGTGAGGTAAAGCTGAACACTGTGGCAGGGAGTCAGGACAGAAGAAAGCTGCTTAGCTCATGGCAGCCAGGAAGCAGAGGGAGGAAGGGGCCAGGGACAGATCTAGCCCAAGGCCATCCATGCCCCACCTGCCTACAATGACCACCAAGTAGTCCAAATTATTAATCCATCAAAGGGATTAATCCACTTATGGTGTTAAAGCTCTCATAATCCAATCTTTTCACCTCTGACCACTGCTACACTGCCTAATTCTTGGGGCTTTCCTAGATGGAAACCATAACAGCACAGGTCCCATCTGGATGGCTTTCCCTACTTCCCTCTCCTGCAGTTAGGCGCCATTGAATGGTTAGACAGTGTCTTATGTGGGTAACAGAACCACAGTCCTTGATTTCGTGCAGGTAGCATAGAGTTTGTGTCCCACTGCTCMTGGTGTGGCATTTAATTAACCCCACTGGAGTGGGACCTTTGCCCTTTTGTTTCCACATGTGAACTACAAGGTACCCGTGGCTTTAGCCCCTATTTATCTACCACTGTGGTCTAAAAGGATGTCTTATTTTCAAGAAAAAGATGATCTATCATTGTATTCAGAACTAAAAATATAATTTTTAAAAGCTCACCTGTTACACATTATAGTCTTAATAAGTATTATTTTTAGCCATAAATATGACAATAATTGTGTATGATTTACATGCATTGCATATTTGTGAAAAGCATCATTCAACAGAATTAATTTCTATCCTGAGAGTTCATGCTAATTTGACATTATTCTACTGAACTAAAAAAAAAAAAACAAAAACAACAACCTTAATGTAGTCCTAGATCAGGATAGACTGTATCAGTAGGAGGCAAGTCATTGTCCTGATTCATAGGGTCACAAGTAGAGCATTCTGTATCCTAGTATTTTTTTTTGATCTGCTATGACATATGAATTCCACCAAAATAATTTCCCCCATTTTGATGGCTTTTTGTCTTCCTCCATCCTCTCCTAAATGAAATTAAAATTTGAAGACTGGCGGAAGGGAGGTGATGCCTTTCCAACAGGGCCACCCAACCAAATGGAGGTCCTGTTGACAGTGCTTTCAAGATTAGGCCCCTGGAGGATGAGTCAGATATTCAGTCAAGGAGATCATGTGTTTAAAAAGGAGGGGAGAGAGTACCCAACACAAACCTAATCTTCCCCATGATGCTCATAGAGTTAGAAACTTTGCAACAGTGATTTGTAAAGCTCCACTTGCCTTACTGCAGACAGCAGTGGAGAAACGAGTTACATTCACCCCTGTGATCACTTTAAGGAAAGAAGATTTAAGCATTCTTGAGGAAAGAAATTAGTTCAAAATAAATTTTCAATCCTTATCATATTCATCTGACCAATGGTTTTGACTTTGCAGCAGCATAATTATTATAATTTATGCAGCAGATCATGGTAGGATTTTGTCCCCAAAGTTTTCAGAATATAATATTCTAAAACATTGGTCTGACTGCTAAAGCTTACCTGACTGGTTTTACTTTTTCGTAAATTACCTCCCTCCTCCCTTAAGGACACGATGCGTCCTTCTGCAGAGGCAACTTATCCTTATGGCCATGTGTTACATACCTTGTGTTTTCTCCCTTCTTTCAGCCAGTTGAGTACTGAAGAAGCTGCAATGCGAAAAAGGCAGCAATCCCAGAATGAAGGAACACCCGCTGTGGCTCAAGCACCTGGAAACCAGAGGCCCAACAACACGTGCTGCTTCTGCTGGTGCTGCTGTTGCAGCTGCTCCTGGTAGGTGGCGCTGTCGGTACCGTGCGCACTGAGCATGCGTGCTGGACCTTAACAGTCTCCCCCCCACACACACTGCTTTGAAAGAAGGAATTACTGAAGCTCGTTGTTTGTCTCATGCAAACATTCATTAGCAAAATATTAATTTCCTCAGAATCTACACTTAAATCGATAGGTAAAGAATGGAAAACTGTGTCAAGTTTTTCCCCGTGAATCTTAAACCTTATGGGTAAAAGTAAGATTAGAGTTATTTACTTGTCAATAAACAGTATTCATCAGAGTCATGATGGTACAAGAACGTAGAGACAGTCCGTGGCAGAGTTCCATGTAGTGCTGAGTGTGGTTTTCCACTCTGCGCTTCCTCCTGGGGTGTTGATCATTAAGGTGCCTGGCAGGTAATTCAGTCAGGGTGGCAACTTCAGAGTAGAACCCCTCCCATTAGCACAGAGGGAAGAGCAGAGACCCTGACCACCAGTCTGAAAGGCCATGCTTGGAATGAAGGCCAAGTCAGTTCACCAAAAACTCAGAAAGTAGATACAGAAAACCTCCTTTTTATCACTGACAGGCTCTGAGGTTTCTTTTTGTTCTTGGTTTTCCTTACTGACAGAATGGGGATAAGATAGACAAACTGATTCGCCAGGTCCCATCCAGGTGCTCGGGTACCTTCTGGAATCTTCCCAGTTCTAAATCCTGAAGTTCCTTTCAGTGAGAAAATCAGTAGGACTCCAAGTCCTGACATTTATGCAGATGAGAGTTCCTCAGGAGGATGCTAGACTTAATGAAACTTTTCTTGAAACCCTAAGTTTTGTGGTCCTTTGAGATCCAATTTAGAACTTCTGGACTAGGAGTGGTCATCTGGTTCTCCTGTAACCGCTTCATACTTTACTCAAAGGCTCAAGTGGTTATGGTTGAGCCTCCTTCTTGAGCATAGTCAACAATTTCCCAGCATCCACAGAGGCTGAGTTGTTGTTGTTGTTGTTGTTGTTGTTTGAGCCCAGGGACATTTAACTTCCAAGGAATTAAACCCAGGAATTGAACCCAGGGAGGCTTAACCTCCAGCCCCTTTCTTAAAATTTTTTTTTTTTATTTTGAGACAGCATCTTACTAAGTTGCTTAGGGCCTCAATAAGTTGCTGAGGCTGGCCTTGAACTTGTGATCCTCCTGCCTCAGCCTTTCCAAGCCACTGGGAGTACAGGCATGGGCAACCACACCCAGAGAGGATGTATTTTGATGTGACAGTATATCATTGTGGTCAAACTGGTGTTCTGAGTTGTGCCCTTGATGAACAAGCCCTACCCAACCTAGAAACCCCTCAGGCCCAGAAGAATGTCTGATATTGCAGTATTCATACAAAAATTACTTTCTGGGTGATGATGATTCTTTGTTAGAGAAAGTCATAGATGATTCATTTGCTTTCATTCTTAAGCCTTAGTAATTTCAGAGGAAGGAAATAGAGTTCTAGTTGAGGTGTATTTCAGTCATAATTGTGTAATTGTTTTCTTACACTCTTACAGAGATTATCCAGCTCTGGTCTTAATCCATGAAACWCTGTAGTGACTTAATATGATGGTTCTGAACTCAAACTTCCAGGGTTCAAATTTTGTCCTCAGCTGTCACTCACTAGGTGACCTTTAGCAAATTAATCTCTCTAATCTTCAGATACCAAATAACATAATAATAAGACCTGAACTCATGCCTCATGAAGTTATTATAGAAATTAAATGAGATACCATATACATACAACAAGCTGAGAACAGTATCCAACACAGAGTGAGCACTTAAAAAGAATTGGCTATGGGGGGCTAGAGTTGTCGCTCAGTGGTAGCACACTTGCCTAGCATGWGTGAGGCACTAGGCTGGATCCTCAGCACCACTAAAAATAAATAAATAACAAAAAGAAAGGCATTTAAAAAAAAAGAATTGGCTGTGGGACATTTCACATTAGGAAAAAAAAAGACAATCTTTAAGGAGGAGGTAGTTCAAAGTAATATAAAAATTTTAAAAATTAACATATAACACAGAAATTTCCTTGAAAAAGAAAGCCATTTTAAGTTCTGTGTRAAATGTTGCAAATGCATTGATATACACTGCTCAGAATTATACTTCTATTTCTCATTTGCACTATACCATGTTCTTATGCTCAGACATCATTTTATTTATCTGCCCAAACTTGTTTCTTAATTTCTTTACATTTAAAGCACCAAAATAGAATACTGAAGTTGGGTGGCACTTTGTTAACTGACAAATAAATACAGCCCTGCATCAATTAGCCATGTCGCTAAACAATTCTGTCACCATATAAGCAACACAGAGTGTAATCCTAAATGAACCATGATGGGATAAGTCTGTCACTTGTGGCCTTTTGATGTAATTAAGAGACTGGGTAAGCCTGAGTTAGATGATGTTGCCACTGGTATAACACTGTAGCCTGTTGTACAGTCAACATTTTTGCATAAGTAGGACTACATGCTAATGATATAAATATGRTACATATAAATACAAAAACCAGTAACAGTTGTTTATTACCCAGTAATAAGTACCATTAATAATAGTACACACTATGCTTTTGTACAATTGTCAGCACAGTAAACTTGTCTACACACCACCTTAATTCTTGATTGATGGGTTAACAATGATACAATGGCAGTGAYGTCACTAGGGGAATAGGAAATGTTCAGCTGCTTTATGACCCTATGCATCCCCTGCTGTATGTAGTCTGTCACTGACTGGAACATCCTTATGTGGTACATAACTCTGTTTAGTGAAACTGCTTTTACTGACACAGATATATAGTGAGACTGACTTTTATTAATTTTTGAAATATGCACTTATTAACACACACTCAAATTAACTCATGAAAGCAAAGTGTTGCCGAACACTAACTACATACCAAGAACAAAGCAAAACAAAAAAAGTTGAGTTCTTGCAACTCTCTACACCTTTAGGGTGACACATACTTCAGATCCCCAACCATGAGGTATTCCCTGCTAGTCCTAGACAGGATCGTGGTGGTCAGGAACTGCACTTGTTAGCAATGGGTTATGGATGCCTGAGTCTGAGCCGCAAAATGTACAGTCTGTATGTTGACAAGTCCTATATAAAACAAATGGTAGGGGATTTCTAATGTAAACAGTTGGATTTTTGAAAAAAGAATAAGTTTGATTGCTTTGAATCAGGGATTTTAATTATGCTATCCTATCAGATTGCAAATGAAAATTCCTTTACACATTCATTTTGAAAATATCATTATTTTTGTACTTTGAGCTTAAGAAAATAAATTTATAAGGGCTTTTTGGAGTGAAAAAAAGAAAGAAATGTTCTTCAAATTTTCCAGGCTAGGTCAAAGGAGCAGAACAAAAAGAGACATGAAAAAATGTAATTTAAGGACTAAAAAAAGTTAGAAATCAAAATATGAAATAGCTGTCACTTGCAAATAGGAGCAGTTGTCATGTGGCTGATTTTACTTCCTTTTAAGGAAATATAGTGCTTGGAAAATAAGTTTCTATATCTAGCAATAAATATAAATACTTCACCCTAGCTTCACATATTATGGGTTTTTTAAACAATTTAATATTTCTCTCGGATTTACATTTCTCTTTCATATTTCACTGTCATCTGTTCTCTCATTTTTTATTTATTCCCATCTTTATAAACTTACCATTATATTTTATTTGGGGGAAGGAGACAGGGAGTGAGTATGTAACCGCTGGATATTTCCACAGTTTCCTTCAAGATCTAAATAGTCTGGGTAGACTTTGTAGCTGTTGAGCTGACCCATTCTCCAATCCTGTCAAGAACCACTTCTTCCCCACACAAGTTTCTCTCCTGCCTCCCAGGTCTCCTCRTAGATATCCACATAACGAAAAGACACGAGAAAGAGGTTTAGACTACTTAACTGTCTGACATCAATGACTGATGTCTGCATCTCAGCTGTGAGATGGACACTCTGGCCTCTTACAAAACCTTCCATATGTGAGACTCTCAAACCTGAACAGCTGAGCAGATAATGTTAGSAAGACCCCTTGTCTAGACACTGGAAAGACACTGGAAAATAGAATTACTGCCTTTTCAGGTGGTAGCCTTCTTTTCTGTTCTGCACGTGGAAGAAATGTTTGAAAGATGTCGGGGGCTCCCCACAAACCACTGTGAAGACCGTCAGGGTATTCAGATCTCGGACCTGAGGTAACACATCAGCTGCACTGCAGAACAGAAATGCTCAGAAACACAACATGCATCAAAAAGGGCATAGAAAAGCAGAGCTTTCAAAATTGTATTTTGAGCTGAGAGCTAAACGCTCTCACAGCATCAGAGGTTACATTGAAATAACCCAGGCTGTTTTTTYTAACAGTCTTTCAGTGCTAATCACTCTTTTAATACCTGGCTGTCCTAGCTGTGTTTCATTAAGCAAGATGGGTTTCCCTGTATTTAGTTATTAGAATAAAAATCAGGAGACCTCAGCTACCATCCTTCCCATATGTTTGTGTGGTCTCTTCTTGGTGCTGTGACAGCTGCAGGGACAGTGGAGCAGAGGACTGCTGGCCACGGCTTGGCTCCCCTCTGGAGTGTGCAATGGAATGGTTCTGTCTTACCTGTTGGACTTAGGTGTAGGCTTTTGCTCGAGAAAAAAATGCACAAACAAAACAAAACATACACAAAACCAACAACAATGACTACAAAGCATTTGAAAAATGCCACGTCTAATTCCACGGATCAGGATCGATGACCTTGATGGCTGTGTTAGTGGTAGATGGATGTGTTAGTGGTAGAGGTGGTAGTGGTTGATGGATGTGKTAGTGGTAGAGGTGGTAGAGGTGGATCCACTTTAATACTTCCAGACGTTACATTCCCCGGTCTGTTATGAACTATTTTCAAATCCAACCTTCCCCAGCAGATTCACAATCTCAGGTACCACAAGATTTGGCCCGTGGCATCAGGTTCTTCTCAGGAGAGATCAGTCACAGAATAAATTTAACAAATTGATTAGTCCTTTGAAACCGAACAAG